TATACCCTCAAATGAAGGGGATTTAAATTAATTGTAAGCGCTATTGTTCTTTAAGCACAATTTAAATCAGCATTTCCCCAATGGGATAGCACTGCCTCCTGTGGGACAATTTGGTAGTTTAAGAGAACAGTAGAAACTAAGAAGAGATTAAGAAACGTCTTTTGCCACATTACACAGATCTTCCAATCTCTTTTTTTTGCAACTAAAAAAGCAAAATAGGAAAGAGCAGCATGGTGGCCTAGTGGTGAACACGCTCATCTCCCACACGGAAGGTTGAGAGTTCAGTCCTAGGTGGTGGCAGATGTTTCTCTCCTAGGGTGCAGAGAGAAAATATCTCTGTGAACTCCATGTAGGCATCAGGAAGGGCATCCAGCCACTAAACGCTTAGCTCCATCCAATAGCCCAGACTCTATCCCAAATTAAGGAATTACAGGGTGGTAAAAAGGGAGTAGGAAAGCACTCAGTTTATAAATCAGAACTTGTAAAGAAATTCATTAAAGTTGTAGCGATGACTGCAAGTGTAACATGTTCCTGAAGTACTGAACGCTTATAATTGTGTTAAACCAGAAAACGAGATTTGGGTAATGGTATGTTATTTATCTATTGATGGATATTTGTCTGTGATATATTTTATATATATATTATTATTAGTCTCACAATCAGCCAGATGTTCAGACTAGAGTTGGCATTTTTATCCTCCTGCCAAGTCCTTCCTAAGAACTGGGAGAGGCAGAAGTGGATGTTTGATGGTATTAGAGGTGTCACCGCAGGATGCAAGCTGTTCCAAGTAAAGCTGTCTTTTGCAATTGACTGGTGGTGAATTTGTCAATGCCGATAAATTCAAGAGGTGTGCCAGTTGTTTTGGGATTCCACTGCAGCTGTCATAAATACATGCCAATTGCCAAGTGCTCAACTGGCATGTATATATATGACCATGTATTAGATCATGTGACCATGGGATGCTGCAATGGTTGTTAGTGTGAAAACCGGGGATTAAGTCTTTTTTCCCACTGCTGTTGTAACTTCAGTCATCAAATGAATGGTTGTAAGTGTAGGTTGTGTCTTTTGCTACTGGCAGTATTTTAGTAACTTATATGCAAACTACCTATTCAATTATATTATTTATGAATTAGGTCCCTCCCCGCAAGAATTAGAGTACTCCAGTGTTGTAGTCCATGAATTTGTTATGCATTTTATATTTCTATTTTTTATTATGTATTTATATGTAAATGCCTAAAATATATTTATCTCAGGGATCTGAATCCAGTTAGATAAAGTCCCCTTTTAATTGTCTAATTATCCAATGTACTCACAATTTTATATTATATATATTGGCTTCTGATTTTTAACTAAGATTAGCAATTCTATTCACACAAAGAAATATTCTATTTTCATTTAAAACCAAACAAAGGCATTTTGAAAAACAATGAAACTCTGTGTCATAAGGCATCATTATGAACACAGCACTTTTTATAAAAGGTCTTTTAAGATGGCAAATATTATCTGCAGTTTCCAAAAAGAGTGTTCCAAAAATGTTGAAATAGGCTATCTAATGGACAACCTCTTAATCTGAGGAATATTTCAATCCTAACACCTTTTTTTCCCAAAAGACTGAACAGAATATTTCACCTGACATTACATAAACACAGCTTCTACTTCCAGTAGCCAAGCTTCATTTATTTTTAAAGGGAAAAAAAAAACCCTGAATGAATTAACACACCACATTACAATGCAAATGATCTACAACATGATGCAGAACAAGAATAGCAGAGTTAATTCTCCACAATACCCATCCCTTGACCCATGTTATAAGCTCCCTTGGGAATAATGTAAACATTTACAAAAAAATCAGAGTTATAAGTACATTATATTAAGTCAATGGCAGACATGATACATTGGCAAGCGATTCAGTTCTCAAAACGTTGCTCTGAAGCACAGCGTGACTTGAGGAGGAGAGCTAAGATGCCAAAACAGAAACTGCAGCAGGAGATCATGGTTGGCGGGCTTCCTGGGGTGGGCAGAGCCATGGCACAGAAACGAGGTGGTCCCGTGAGATACCCTCACTCAAATGTTTGCCAAGACCCTTGGCCGCAGTTTTCTGCTTGAATAATTTGATTTTGCAGATCTCATCTAGGACATTTACTTCTCTGGTATTAGAATTCCCGCTAAGTAGCCAGAGAACAGCTGGCCTTCACTACAAGCCCACTCCCCCTTCTGCAAAATAGCCCAACAGGAGCAACATTTGCTGCTGCTGCTGTTGTTTAATTGGCCTTAATGGAGACCATGAGGGGTCTTTGCTGACTGAGACTCCTGCAGAAAGAACAGAACCCCTTCGCAATTTGGCAAGAAGTCTGGTCGCCCCGCTTTTGAGAAAACGCCCATCAATCTGGGAGTCCAGCAAGAGGCTTTTAAGGCAGCCTTGTACCCAGGAATGGCCTACCTGGGTATCCTGAGTTTCAAGAACCAGTCAGCTCATTTCTCTTCCCAGCAGCCAAACCGGGAAGTCCAAAAGTACACGGTGAAAAAGCAACTGGTGGCACTGAGGAAATATTTAGCAGGGGGTTCCTCTGAGGAAATGGAGATGGGGCATGCCTTTTACAGGGACCCTGCAGGGTAGCTAGTAAGTAGGCAGCACTTCCCCCCCACCCAGGCTCTCTATTTTTTATTTAAAAAAAGCAGTTAAGGCAAAGGCAGAGGAAGTAAAGCTCATGCAATGCAATGTCGTGATGTCAGCAAGGCAATTTTAAAGCAGTGGCTCGCTGGCACTTTGGAACAAGTGTAATGCATTTTAAAATGGCAGATACCGTTGTTTTTTTCCCCCAAAGCCCACATTTGGAATGTATCAAGAAATCTCCCAAGGAGAGAGAGAGAGAGAGGCTCACTTTTCACAAAGCTATTCCCAAAGAAAGACCAGTAGAGGTTTTGGGCCTCCAGCATTAACAGTTTTCATTTCTTTTGGCTCAGTTTTTAAAATATCCTTGATGGGGAGAATTTGGCCCTTGTATTTACAAAACAGGCAGTCTTCCAGCGAACCAAGAGGTAATCCTTTGGGGGGGGGGGGTCACTACATATACAAAAAAGACTGGGATTTGGGAGGAGAGAAACAGACCAGAGTAGGTAAAATCGGATAAGGCACATATTACAACCCACTTTGCTGTCCTATCCTGATTCTTCATTCTATCTCAGTGTTTCTCAACCTTGACAATTTTAAGGCATGTGGACTTCAACTCCCAGAATTCCACATGCCTTAAAATTGTCAAGGTTGAGAAACACTGTAATTCTGGAGGCGATATTCACATTTTCTGATAAACCCACAACAACATTTCCCAAAATGTAGTGTATTTTGCAAAGGGAGAAAAAAAAAAACAGGGCAAGCCTACTCCTTGAAAATAAAAGCGACGGCTTGAAATGGCAACTAATTGCCTGGATGAGGAGTAAAGTCCAGATGATTTAAATGACAGACATCCCTAAGACTGTGCTCAAGATTTAAGAGTCTGAGTATTTTGAGGCAGCCTGGCCCCATCTGGCCGCTTCCAGATATATGGGGAGTGCAAGCCATGAAATCCCATTGCTGCCCCAGGGTGTTGGACCAGATTGGACAAGACTGCCCGAGGTAGCACAGTAATCGGTACCTTCCAAAAAGCATCCTTGGGCAAGGAACTGGCTCAAATCCAGGGGAGGATTTTACATCCCAGGATGCCAGAATTAGACTCATACAGGTGAGAGGGTGAGAAGAAGAGCACTGACTGAACAGGGTGTCCCAAAGCCAAGAGACCCAAGATCATTGGAAAGTTGTGGAAGAAACAGATGAGAACTGCTGAAACGTCAAACTGGCCCAGCCAAAGCAATGTTTCTCAACCGTGGCAGCTTTAAGAGGTGTGGACTTCAACTCCCAGAATTCCCCAGCCAGCCACACTTCAATTCTAGGAGTTGGAAGTCCACACCTCTTAAAGTTGCCGAGGTTAATAGCTCAATTGTGCTCAATAGCTATTAGACACCCCCCAAAAATCTGAGGAAAGAAATACTTGTAGATGCAACCTGATTGTGGGTCTCAACACTTTGCAGATCCTCATCCATGTGTTATGAGGTAAAGTGGGATATCTGAACAGAACCTGATCTACCAGAACCAGCAATGAAAAGGGTTCTGTGATTCAATTGTGGGAATACTTCTTTCTAAGAGGGACAGGCTTGGACCAGATCCTGGGCATCTTCAAAATTTCTGTTTTTAACAAGCAGGTTAATAGCCAGCAAGGCCGAAGAGAGACAACAGAAAGCAACACACTCTAAACAAAACAAATAAGCAAAATGAAGACCTATCAACAGGTCAAAACTTCCAGAAAATGGGTCCTATTTTAGGAGAGCAGGGGCAATATTTAAACGCATCCCCCTTAATTAATACAGTTCTCCAATACGGAAAGCTAGCAGTTCAGTGAGAAGATTAGGGCAGACCATTAATCATGCTGCTAACTTTCTATTTCCAGGAATTATCTTCCGGGGGGGAGGATTCAGTTACAAAACTCCTACTCTGGCAGCAGCAAACATCAAAAAATAGTTGTTGTCATGAACGAGCTGCTCTTTGTGCCTATCTCACTATCACACATTTCCTTTCACAACAATGTCTAGAGCTGCACAATCCCCAAAGATACGGGGAGGCAGCATTAGCACAAAGCAAGCTCAAAAACAGGGAAAAGGTGAGAGAAGTTTAAGTCTCTTCCCTGAAATCTTCAGAGGAATCTGGTGGTGAATGGCTGCTCTTTCAAAATGAGGCAGTCAATAGAAATGACAGTTTTATCCCGTTCCTTGTGCATCCATTGGCAAGAACGATATACAGTAGGTGAGTGTCAATAAAGGGAGGCCTAGTCAAATTTTATGGGCAACAGCCATGTCTTGGCACAAGCCATTACCATCATGAAAGGAGAACCATAAATAAAACCATGGTTAGCGGAAGAAAGAGCAGCACCCCTCAAAGGAAAAAGAGAAAGAGAGAAAAGAGAGAGAGAGGGAGCCTCAAACGAGGAACCCAATGTGTTTCTTGCAACAACTCAAACCAAACTACTTGGGTAACCCAACCAGTCAGGATCAGGACCAGGGATTCCCATAATTGGGAACTGTTGGATATTCAGGGAGGCTGTTTCCTGAAAAGTTGTTGTGCTGGGCTTCCCTGCTTGGAGGATCTTTCCACGATCCACTCTGCCATTCGTTCTGGGCTTTCTGAAAGCTCCCACCTCCACTACGGTAGATCCGGTGAACCTGATTGGAAAGAGAAAGAAAGAAAGTAGGAATGAAGCTTCTATCTGTTGGACATCTGCTTTGCATTGACTTTCTTTCCTTTAACTTGGTTTAGAAAAAAAGGAAGTGAGGATGCAGGGATGATGTTTAGTCTGAGATACGGGGATTAAGATCTCAGAGTGATTTTTAAATTGCCCCCTTGTAGTTCCAGGTTGGCTTTCATGCCTAGTGGGTGGGCCTGGAACTCAAAGTCTCCTAGTGATTGGCCCAAAGTCACCCACCAGCTTTCATGCCTAAGGCGGGAGTAGAAATCAGTCTTCTGGTGATTGGCCAAAGTCATCCAGCCAGCTTTCATGCCTAAGGCGGGAGTAGATGTCAGTCTCCTGGGTTTCCAGATGTGCCTTAACCAAAGTTTGATAGGTCACATGGTTTCTGTGGACATCAAAGCCAGGTTCTCTGCCCCACTCAGTTCCATTGTCTTAACAAAACTGGAAGATGAAGGATTCAAAGCAAAGTGCCAGCCTTCAGCATAATCATTATTTCTGCTTTGTTTGAGAATATGCCGCCGACCGTAAAGAAAAATAGAAAGACGGGCATGGAAGACAGTGACTTATGTCTCTGTCATCCTTCAGTTAGATCAGGATTTGTCAAAAAGGGTTCTGTGGAACTCCTGTGTTATGTGAAAACCTGATGGGTTCCATGAAAAACTAAGGGAAAAACCAACTTATCAAACAAACAAACAAACAAAAAAATCACTTGAGCACAGCCAATATTCTGGCTCTAGAATTTTGCCTCATGGCTGACTGGGGAATGCTGGGAATTGAAGTCCACAGGTCTTAAAGTTGCCAATGTTGGACATCCCTGCCTTAGACGACCCTTGTATGTGGCATTGGAATTCATGCTGGAAGTAGGTGCCCCAGAGAGACAGAGGGTGGGTGAAGACCTGGAGAAACCTTCTCAGTGCAGTCTCCTCACTCTGGGTCGGCCTAACCTCCAGGGGTTAGGCCCCCTACCCTTTATTCTTCAGGTAGCAGTTGAAAACTCTGCCTTCCAGTGGTCTTTCAGGGAGAGAGGTTGATCATAGCCATAGCTTGTTAAAGATTTTTTAAAAGAAGATTTTAACATTTGGATTTTATGTAAATGTTTTATGCATAGTCTTATAAGCCACTAAGAGTTGCTAGAGTATTACACTTACATTATTGTTAACATTTAGTTTTATATGGCTACCCATCTCACAAAACTATTATGAACTGTGACACAATACAAGTATTGGTATAAGAGAGACAATTTGTGTAGTGGTTGAAGTCACCAGACTAGAAACTAGGGGAGTGTGAGTTCTAGTTCTTCCTTAGGCATGGAAGCGGTGGATGACTTTGGGCCAGTCCCTCTTTCCCAGCCCACTTCACAGGGTTGTTGCTGGGTTAAAAACAGATGAGAACTTGAGGCCTGCACACTGCCTTGAGTTGACTAAAATAAAGGTGGCATAACATCAAATAAATCAATAGCAAATAACAAAAGCATACATAAAGTAGCTGGTATGGGATTCACTGTACATATATACAGGATGTACCAAAGGTTAGGCCCCCATGGGCTAATCACAATATGTTTTGTTAATGTTATTAACTAAGGTTCCTTGCAGACAAAAAGTTACTGTACTTAGGAATGTTCAAAAGTATGTCAAATAAATAACAACACTTCTGAAAGAAAATAGCAAGTCATCAAACATTTAATGCAATTAAATAATTACCTTTAAGACCTGACTTTTCGCCCCCCTGGTCAGTTGGGGAGGGGGCAGCAGGGGATGAGAGCATTATATGATGCCCAGATGATGGCCTGTGCTTAATGGAGCCACAGAGTGACTCTCTTTTGCACCCCCCCACCCCGGGAGAGGCACACCATGCACCACAAATTCCAAAAAACCCTCTGACTCACCCGGATGAGACTTATAAACATCCCGACAGCGCACAAGGTGAACATAACTGCTGGGAAGAGCATGACCACACCAGCTCCAACACTAGTACCGATAAAACCTATGGCAGCCATCCAGCCACTAGAAGAGACCAAGAGAAAAGAGGGTTGCAATTTTCAGAAAACATTTATTGGGCCAGGGCATATGGAAACATCAGTCTCATTCCAGTATGTATTGACTTTCCATCCAAATAAAAGCAAAGGAGGATATTAACCGTAGTTTGGAACAAACTGAAATATTTAAACCAACTTAAAGGTTGGCAATGATTTGCTTCCGCTCAACCAGGAAACTATAATTGGTTAAAAACTTTCTCCCTGACCTGTAATAAATTAAGATTCAGGAGGAAACTACTGTCAATGTTTTCATGACAAAAAAAATCAAAATAAACCCCATATTATTATTACATATACGACTAGGAAACGGGGAACAGGTAATTTTTAAAATAGATCAAAATACAGGGTTTCTCAATGAGCGGTCGGTGATCAGAGTCATGTCCCACGAAGAGTACAGATAGTCCTTGACTTGCAACCATTCATTTAGCGACCATTTGAAATTACTACAGCAATGAAAAAAGTGACTAATGACCAGCCTTTACACCAGGGGTCTTCAAACTTGGCCCTTTTATGACTTGTGGACTTCAACTCCCAGAATTCCTCACCCAGCCAGGCTGGCTGAGGAATTCTGGGAGTTGTAGTCCGCAAGTCATAAAAGAAGACCCCTCTGCTTTACACTTACAATAGTCATAGCATCTCCAGTCACATGATCAAAATTTGGGTGCTTCGCAACTGGCATGTATTTACAATGGTTACAGTGTCCTAGGTGTCATGTGATCCCCACTGGCCACCTTCCAAGCCAGCTTCCGACAAGTAACATCAAAAGGGGAAGCTGCACTTGCTTAATGAGTGTGTGATTCACTTAACAACTATAGCGATTCACTTTACAACGATGGCAAAAAAAGGTTGTGACAACTGCCTTGCTTTAACAACTGCCTTGCTTAGTAACGGAAATTCTGGTCCAATTGTGGTTGTAAGTTTATTTATTTATTTATTTAGCAGGTGGCATCTACAGAGGTCATGCAACCACTGTTATACAACACTAATAAACCACATTATACATACAAGCACAAATATAAGTTTAAACAAAACATCAGCAGATAAATTATGTAAAGTGTGTCGACAATACAATAGATGAGATAAAATGGAGTAAAACCATAATAAAATTGCTATAATATGGCACTATGGAATTGCAATAGGATAGATGTTATAATTCAATATTCTAAGGAAGCTACCCATCTAACTGCATCTGGTGTGGCTATGAAATTTCAGGTGCCTTGAAATTTTCCTGAGAAGACATTTTTTAACTATATGTGGTTGTAAGTCAAGGACTACCTGTTTACAGGTATAAGCCTGGTTTGGCAGTAGCGTCTGAAAAGGATCTGGGTGTCCAGGTAGACCACAGCTGAAGCTTGAGCCAGCAATGTGCTGCAGCTGCTAAAAAAAGCCAACAGCTTCTTTGACAGAGACATAATTTTAAGGTTATGGAAAGTGATCAGTCCACTCTATCCTGCCCTGGTTAGGCCACTCCTGGAATGCGGAGTCCATTTTGGGTCATCAAAATGCAAGGAAGATTCTGAGGAACTGAAAAGAATGCAGAGAACAGCCACAAAGATTGCAAGGTGCTTGGAGGCTAAACTCTAGAAATAACATTTAAAGGAACTGGGAATGTATAGCTTAAAGAATTTTTATCTTTTTTATATTGGATGTTTTATTTATTGTTATGCACCACCCCAAGTAACCTTTGGGGGAGATGGGTGGCTATATAAATTTGATAAAAACATAAATAAGAACAGGCTAAAGAGAGATATGATAGCAGTCTTTAAATATTTCAAGGACAGTCACCAGAAACAGGTGTGGATTTATTTTCTAGAGTGCCCAAGGCTAGAACCGGAAGTAATGGGTGGAAGTTTTACAGAGGGAGATCCAAATTCTTGGGAGCCAAGGATGCACCAACTCTGGAGATTTTCAAACAAAAGGTGGCCAGTCATTTGTCTGGAATGCTGTCCTGGGCAGGATTAGAAGATTCTAAAGTTTTGGAAGAAACTCTAGGATTCTATGAGGATACATTTATTTATGCAATTTATTTCTCTGCAATCCATAGGAACCATTAAAACACAATAATATAGTAAGAACAACAATAAATTGCAGGTTTCTTAATAGATACATTGAGTAAGAAACATAGGTTTCGTACTCAATGTATTTTCTTACTTGCCGACCCGTGTCCTACTTGCCGACCCGTGTCCTAGGAAAGATCTGGGTTCTTTAATAAAGGGACAAATGGAACTTAAGTTAAAAGTGTTAAGAATGTTAAGAAACAATTCAGTAAACCAATTAGATGCTGTAGCACCACTGTTTTCTATTGTATAGGAGGATAGATTTTTTTTTAAAAAAAATCTAAATTGGGGGAAAATGGAAGATGTGTAAAAATTAGTTGCTTTACTTACCATGCTCCCCACCCCTTGAAACCGATTGCCTGGAGGACTGTCAGGATAAACTGGGCTCCAAAAATGAAGAAAAATGCCATGAAATTAAAAGAGCTGTCTGACCTGGGGGAAGCATGAGGAAGAAGAAACATAAATTTAGTACACAAGTAAATACAGGTTGTCCTCGACTTACAACCATTCAATGACTGTTCAAAGTTACAATGAGAATAAAAGAGTGACTTATGACTGTTTCTCACACTTACAACCACTGTAGCATCCCCATGGACCATGGTCATGTGTTCCAAATTCGGATGCTTAGCCACTGGTTCATACTTATGACGGTTGCATTGTCCCAGGGTCATGTGATCCCCTTTTGTGACTTTTTTGGGGGGTGTCTGGGTCCATTTTTTACTTAATAATACAGATTAAATTCCTAATCTCTACCTCCTTTTTCTGGCCAATGATAAACTACCCTTTTGTGACTTTTTGACAAGCAATTTCAATGGGGAGGCCAGATTTAGTTAACAATCATGTTACTAACTTAACAAAGCAGTGATTCACTTAACAACTGTGTCCAAAAAGATCATAAAATGGGGCAACATCCATTTAGCAGCTGTCTCACTTAGCAACAGAAATGTTGGGCTCAACTGTGGTCATAAATGGAGGACTACCCGTAACGGAGAATAATTCTATGAATTAGTTCCATTGGGTGGGCTCTAATTCTAATGTTGTGAGAAATGGAGTAAAAGATATCCCTGCTGACTCATGCTTTATTATGCATCAATCTATTAATCTCCCTGTGTCTTTTTCTTTCTCCTAAATAGCCCCAACTGCTGCATTCTTTCCTCACATGGAAAGGGTTCCAACTCCTTGATCAAAATATTGCAATTAAGATTTAGGGGTAGGATGAAGGAGGGTGCTCCAACTCATTTCTTTATTCTGCAGCACCAGACCTAGAGCTCTGATTTTGGAAATTTAAGGGCAAGAGATAAATACACCAGGGTGAAATTTTACCGGAAGGCTTTGTAGACTGGCCGGAACCAACACACATAACTACAGGGGCTGAAGAGGATAAGCCAAAGAATTGCCAAGCCAAAATTGGTACCAGTATCACCACCGATCCACCAAGCCAGAGAAGCAATGAGGTTAACGCTCAAAGTGATGCAGTAAACTATGAAGGAAAAAAAAAGAGAGACATTCAAAGTACTGGGAAAATCCAAGGCACTTTAAAGCAATGATGTACAATATGGACTTTGAAAGCTTATGGAGAAATTGGATCTTGGTGAATTCAAAAAGGGTGAATGCGGAAGGAGTGCTAAGGAAAGCTTCTCTCAACAGTACTTGGGCGATAAAGCCAATTAGCCAAAGGACCAGAAGTCCTACTCAGAAGAAGTCTCTATGACAGAGGCTGGGTGTGTCCTCCTTGGCAATCAACCACAGCTGAGGTGATCTGATTTGTTAGTATTTTAACTTTAAGTAAATATTTTTTTCAATTCACATATTGCCGGGCTATTATTGTTTTCACATATTTTGATGTTGATAAGCTGGCTACCGAGCTGATTTTCTTAGGTAGCAAAGATAATTAATTAAAAATAAAATATATCTTAGTCTCTTCTTCTGATAAAGGCTCCTGGATTTTTATTTTCAGCAAGCCAATTTTTTTTAACAATGATAAATTTCTAGCAGCCTAAATCGACTGTTATTAATCCCATAAAAAGATGCACAAAGGTGTACAAATATGCCCAAGAATATACTCTCAAACATCAGTGCACATTGTGAAAGATCAGATCCAGGCTCCTGGATCTTTGTTTATTTATAGAATTTATATGGCTACTCAGCTCAAGTAGATGACACTGAACAATGTTATCTGTTGCAGCTAGTCTAATTTGGATCTGCACTGAAAGAGGGATAACTGACACCAGATTTCGGCCCTCAGAATCCCTGGAAATCTAGCCTGCTTGGATTTCTGTAAGGAGGCCATTAACTAAGAAAAGGCTGGTAAGATGGTTACAGGGCTGTTTCCAATTTGATGATTCAAGTATAGCAATAGCACTTAAACTTATATAACGCTTCAGAGTCCTTTACAGCCCTCTCTAAATGGTTAATAGGGTCAGCATATTGTTCCCAACAATCTTAGTCCTCATTTTACCAACCTCGGAAGGATGGAAGGCTGAGTCAACCTTGAGCCGGTGAGAATCGAACTGCTGGCAGTCAACAGAATTAGCCTGCAGTACTGCATTCTAACTGCTGCACCACTACAGCAAGTATGCTTACTTTATACAAGTCCATCACTTAGTTTTGATTTTGTATGGTTTAAAAATTTTAACTTGCATAGGTTTACTATTTTAATATACTTTTATATATTTTAATTTCTAGTTGTTTTATAACATCAGCTGCCCAGAATCGCCTTATAGGAGAGATGGTCGGAATAAAAACCAAATAAATAAATAACGTGATAATGCCAAGTTCAATCCTTTACCAACACCAGCTCTAAAAAGTAGCCCCTTTGTTGGAATAGATTTAAGTTAATCTTTCCTAGATCAGACTTTGGCTGGCAACCGCAACATTTTGGGGAAATCACTGCATGGGCATGAAGGAAACAGACTTCTCCTGTTGATTCACTTACTTCCTAGAAAAGACTGTTCTAAACAAGGACATGTGGCTGATGAGTCATCAATAAATCACTTCTTCTAACTCTTATTTGGAAAAATTAGGCAAAGAAGTCCATAATGCTGAAGAAGGTGGAGGAACACGTCAGCTAAGGGCAACCGTGGGATCTGGCAGGGTGAAAGTTGTGAACCATAAACACAAAGCTTTCACTGTGTCCCTGCATAACAGATACTGCCTTGCTGACCTTAATAAGGACATTAAGGAGACAGGGTCAAGGTAGTTGTGATGATAACTCAAATAAGCAGGGGATCGTGGTCTGAGATGAAGAACTTGTTTTTGACAGGGAGAAGTGCGAATCAGGTACTACACATCAGTCATGCAAGAAGAGCAAGGCATCCAAAAAGAGAAGCCAACTTCTGGTTGGTGATTCAACTATAAGGGATGTAAATTTAGGAAAGGACACAGAGGTTTCGAAAGAGGTCAGGTGTCTTCCAGGTGCTACTGCCAGTAGGGACAAGAAGCGTATTTTTAAAATAGTCAAGAATGCCAGCAAGGACTGTGATGTGGATGCTATTGTACATCTTGGCACTAACGATCTGTCCCAAAAAGATGTACTCTCTGTGCAGAATGATTTCCAGAGCTTGGGGCAGGAACTTAGCAGGATAGGGTGTAGGCTTACTTTTTCAGAGGTTTTACCATTGTATAAGGAGCAAAATGGAAAAGGCCAGCATATAGCAGAATTCAATATGTGGCTAAAGGAGTGGTGTAAAGGGGAAGGCTTTGGTTATATTAGTCACGATGTCTGTAGCTGGTCCAATGAAAAAAATGTACAAAAGAGATGGTTTGCATCCATCAAAGAAAGGGAATGGAGTTACTTGGCAATAAATTCACAGATTTTCTGGAGGAATATTTAAACTAAACAATGGGGACAGTGAATTAATTGATACAGAACATACCTGTCCCCGGCAATTTAAAAATTATAGGGCTATCAGTGCATGTAACATAGATGTGTATGTGGACAAGAATATCAACCTTGCTGTCAAGCAAAATCAAGCTTTTAATAACAAGTGCCACACAAAGTGCACTAACCAAACAGGTGGTGAGAAAATAGGGGAACTCAGGCACCACACAGGTTATGTAAAAAGTAAACACAGGGTCAGTCATAAAGGACTCAAATGTCTATACACCAATGCACAGAGTATGAACAGCAAACAGGGTGAACTAGAAATTCAGGTTAATGAGGGCAGATATGATATTGTTGCCATTACGGAAACATGGTGGGATGAAACCCACAAATGGAACACACAGCTAGAGGGATTTAAATTATTTAAAAGAAACAGACCAAATAAAAGAGGAAGTGAAGTTGCTCTCTATATAAGAAATACCTACATCTCTAAAGAAATAGAGCACAACAATGATGAAAACTGTCTTGAATGCATTTGGGTCAATATAAAAGGGGGGGGGGAATAACATTGCCATAGGTGTATACTATAGGCCAACCAACCAAACAGAGCAAATAGATAAACTTTTTGCTAGTCAACCAACTATGTAGGAAACACATCACAATAGTAATGGGGGACTTTAATTACCCTGACATCAACTGGGAGACAAACTCTGCATCAAGTGGAAGATCAAACAGATTTTTGACAAACCTAGCAGACACCTTTTTCTCCCAAAAAGTAGAAAAGGGAACTAGGGGATTAGCCATATTGGATCTAATTCTCACTAACAGAGATGAAATGATAGAAGGTGTTGAAGCCACAGGAACCTTGGGGGGAAGTGATCATGCAATATTGGAATTCAACATTATGGAAGCATAAGCAATAGAACACAGTCAAACTAGAGTTTTGGACTTTAAAAGAGCTAATTTCAATAAACTTAGAGAGGGCTTGGGAAGGATTCCATGGATGAGAATCCTCAAGGGGAAAACAACTCAAGAAGCTTGTGAAATTTTGAAAAGTGAGATAATAAAAGCCCAATCTAGCACAATACCAACAAAGAAGAAAAATAACAGCTCTCAAAAGAAACCAGCATGGCTGCATAAAGAACTCTCTGATAAATTGAAAGATTAAAAGGACAAGTATAAAAAGTGGAAAGAGGGGCACATAACTAAGGCATAATATCAGCAAATAGCCCGAGCCTGCAAAGATGAAGTGAGGAAAGCTAATAAGGCTCAAAATGAACTAAAGCTTGCGACCAAAGTCAAAAATAACAAAAAAGCTTCTTTCAACATGTAAAAAACAAGAAAAAGGTTAAGGAAGTGATTGGTCCATTAGTGGGGGAAAGTGGCAAGAAGGTGACAAGCAACAGGGAGAAAGCAGAACTATTTAACTCGTTTTTTTGCATTTGTCTTTACACAAAGGAAAAAAACAGTCCAACCTATCAAAAACAGTGCCATAAAAAACAGAATAGAAACACAAGTTAAGATAGGCAAGAAAATGGTAAGTGAGCACCTGTCCAGCCTAGACGAGTTCAAATCACCAGGATCAAATGGATTACACCCCAAGGTTTTCAAGGAACTGGCAGATGTGATCTCAGAACCACTGAACTATATTTTTCAAAGATCCTGGAGTACTGGGGAACTACCAGACGACTGGAAAAGAGCTGATGTAGTTCCCATCTTCAAAAAAGGGGGAAAAATGGATCCAGGAAATTACAGACCTATCAGCCTGACTTCAATACCTGGGAAGATTCCGGAAAAAATAATCAAACACCTAGAGGCAAACAAAGTCATTACTAAAAGCCAACATGGATTTGTCAAAAACAGATCATGCCAGACAAATCTTATTGCATTCTTTGACCAAGTGACAAAATTAGTGGACCAGAGGAATGGTGTGGATATAATTTACTTGGACTTCAGTAAGGCATTTGATAAAGTAGATCACAACCTACTACTTAATAAGATAGAAAAATGCGGGTTAGACAGCATCACCACCAGATGGATTCGTAGCTGGCTGACCGGCCGTACTCAGCATGTGGTCCTCAATGGAACCGCATCTACATGGAGGGAAGTGTGTAGTGGGGTGCCCCAGGGCTCTGTTCTAGGCCCAGTGCTCTTCAACATCTTCATCAATGATTTGGACGAGGGGATAGATCGGGAACTCATCAAATTTGCAGACGACACCAAGCTGGCAGGAGTAGCCAACACTCCAGAAGAGAGGCTTAAGATACAGGAGGATCTGGACAGACTTGAACACTGGGCGCTATCTAACAAAATGAAATTCAATGGTGAAAAAAGTAAGGTTCTACATTTAGGCAAGAAAAACCAAATGTATAGGTATAGTATAGGGGGTACCTTGCTCAATAGTAGTAACTGTGAGAGGGATCTCGGAGTCCTAGTGGACAATCACTTAAATATGAGCCAGCAGTGTGCTGCAGCTGCCAAAAAAGCCAACACAGTGCTAGGCTGCATTAATAGAGGGATAAAATCAAGATCACGTGAAGTATTAATACCACTTTACAATGCCTTGGTAAGGCCACACTTGGAATACTGCATCCAGTTTTTGTCACGATGTAAAAAAGATGTTGAGACTCTAGAACAGTGGTTCTCAACCTTTTTAATGCCGTGACCCCAACCGGTCGTAAGTCGAGGACTAAACCAATCGTAAGTCGAGGACTAAACCGGTCGTAAATCGAGGACTAAACCGGTCGTAAGTCGAGGACTACCCAACCAGTCGTAAGTCGAGGACTTTCCCTGCCTGGGAGCGCTGCGCATGCGTGGTTCCGCCCCCGGCGCCGGCCGAGGCGTAGCTGGCAAGCGGCAGAGACGGAGCAGGCCGACCACCAGCTGGCCCAGCCCAAGGGAGGTAAGGCACCCGCCGGAAAAGGGGGAAAAATATGGCGGACAAAAAAAATGGCGGACAAAAAAAATGGCGGACAGCCTTGCTTGGCGACCCCCATGAAATGGTCGATCGACCCCAAATGGGGTCCCAACCCACAGGTTGAGAACCACTGCTCTAGAAAGTGTACAGAGAAGAGCAACAAAGATGATTAGGGGATTGGAGGCTAAAGCATATAAGGAACGGCTGCTGGAATTGGGTATGTCTAGTTTAATGAAGAGAAGGACGACGGGGGACAAGATAGCAGTGTTCCAATATCTCAGGAGCTGCCATAAAGAAGAGGGAGTCAAGCTATTTTCCAAAGCACCTGAAGGCAGGACAAGAAGCAACGGGTGGAAACTAATCAAGGAGAGAAGCAACCTAGAACTAAGGAGAAACTTCCTGACAATTAGAACAATTAACCAGTGGAACAACCTGCCTCCAGAAGTGGTGAATGCTCCAACACTGGAAGTTTTTAAGAAGAGACTGGACAGCCATTTGTCTGAAATGGTATAGGGTTTCCTGCCTGAGCAGGGGGTTGGACTCGATGACCTCCAAGGTCCCTTCCAACTTTATTATTATTATTATTATTATTATTATTATTATTATTATTATTATTATTATTATTATTATTATTATTATTATTATTATTATAGTGGAGGGACTTCATTATGGTACCGAAGGGTGCCCAAAGGGCCAGTACCAGTATCTCTGGAAAGGCTAGGTGAGAAAAGACTGATCTAATCTTTCTAGCCTTTGGGGCTATGAATTCTGCAAGATCATTCATGCATTATGATTTTTGCCAAAGTTCCATGCTCTGCACATATTTTGCAAGATTAGTTAGATACATATCTTGGCTCTTGGCAAACTATCTTCTCATCTCACTGGAAATCTGCCATTTGTCTGGATTTTCACTAGGTTTTGTGTTAGCTTTCCACTGTATATCCATAAGGACTGGTATCTTGCTATTTAAAAACAAAACTGAAAACTAAAGATAAAGACAAAAAAAACACCAGACTAAACTCAGAAAGATACTGAGGTGCATTTTTAACCTCCCTCCACTGTCACGGTGAACGAGGTTTCCAATGCAGCTGAACTTACATATCCACAAGCGATAGATCCTTCTCACCAGAGTCTGGTAATCAATTGGGATTTCATCTGTGAAGTTCTGGTAGAAGCATGGCTTCAGTGGGATAAATTTAGGAAGTGGGGGGAAGTTGTTCACTTTTTCTACAAAGAGAATAAAAATCAGCTGAGTTAACAGAGGGAATGGCAACTTTAGTCCTTGGAACAGTAAATCAGTCTGAAGATAAATACTCAAACAAGCTTACAGAGTTATTGGGGAACACAAATTAAAGAAGTCAAAAGAAACAGCCCAACATAATCAGGAACGCAACAAACTGCAATCTAAGCAAATTTTTGTTAGACCTTTTAGGCAATGTAGTCATGAACAAAGTAGCTTTGGAGAGACATGTTTTACAGAAAGATGTTCATATGTTTATATATATTCGTACAGCTCAACGGGGACTAGAGAAACAGCTGTCATCCAAGTCAATTTTAGCTTTGAGAGAGGAAATTGGAATTGTTCCACTTGCACTTTACCTGCCATTCCTCCTTCTTTAAGTGCCTTGTCAGAAAGGGTTAAGTCATGAAGAGCTGGATCTAAAACAGAGGAAAAGAAATGTTAAGTCCAGGGAGAGATTAAGACCTTCATTTCCCACAGATTCAGCACTGATAAAAAAGGGTTCAATTTGTCAAGACCTCCCAATAAGTCAGCACTTGGCCTCAAAAGGTTAAGATATGAAAGGACTTGTCCTGTATTTGGAAAGATTCATGCCAAATTAATGTATTTATTTAGCATATGGCAGTCCTAACCTAGGACTGCTAGAAGATAGATAGATAGATAGAACAAGTTTCAGGTCAATTGGCTATAGTATATAAGTTGAACAAGAGTGGGGCTAATACTAATCCTTGGGGAGACTATTATTGAGCATCTTCTCATTACTTCTCATATTGTTTCTCATAATTACATGTAACTTCCTATTGGTGAGCATGCTACCAATGAGCCAGGCAATTTTCTTGCAGGATATTTATTACCTGAAACAGTTTATATATGGCACCTAGTCTCAGTGTTGTATGCTGTGGTTAGGTCTACAAAAACAACAGAGGTTTTAAGTTGTTTTTGAAATCCATCTTCTATGTATGTAGTTAACGAGAGAGCCAAATGAAGAAATAAACCAACAAATGAAATGACAGAAAAGCTTCTCCTACTATAGATCTAAAAAGGAGAAATTAATACTTTAATACTTACTATTTTGTTTTGTTTTATTTTTCTATCCCTTTATTGTTTTTACAAATAACTCAAGGCGGCAAACTTATTCATCACACCTTCCTCCTCCTATATTCCCCACAATAATATGCTTCAAGTTCAGGAATGTTGTTTGTGGCACAATGTTTATTTACAATCCTGGCATTTTCTTGACTGTTTTCTAAAAAATGTTTATTTTTGTTTTGATCTGGTACAGTGGAAGAGAAAGCCAGAGCACCTAACTTTGTTTTTCTACAATACTGGCATTTATTTCTGACCACAAACCCATTTTTTACCTGTTACTCCTAAAGAGGAAAAATAAAGAGATGTCATATTCCTTAATTTTCAATAACTTGTAGCTCCATTTGTAAAACAAAATGAAAATCATTTAAAATACTTTAAATAAGACCAATGAATAAATTAAAAGTATACCTTCATTTCTAGTAAACCAAAAATGAAAAAAATAATAGATTCAAATAGAATACAAGTTTATGACTTTTGAGTTAGAACATAGAATAATAAGAGTTGAAAGGGACCTCAGAGATCTTCTAGTTCAATTCCTTGCTCAAGCAGGAGACCCTATATCAATGGTGGCGAACCTATGGCACGCGTGCCAGAGGCAGCACTCAGAGCGCTCTCTGTGGGCACGCATGCTGTTGTCCCAGTCCCGCCTCCCCCCATGACCCCCTCACCAGCAGCCACCCCCGGAGAAGAGTCACCCCCGGGCGCAGCTCGCACGGAGCAGCGCAGCCAAGGACATGGCAGCCGGGCAATGGGGACAAGACTTCGCCCTCATGCCCCGTCGCGCGCAGTTGATGCTGCTGGGCGTGGGCAGAGGGCGTGGCTGCCATGGTGCTGCTGGGCCGCCTGGGCAATCTGCGGCGGGCCATGGAGGCAGTAAGTGGCCAGGCGGGGAGGTGGGGTGGGGCAGAGGCGGGGTGGTTTTGGGGCACTTGGTCTCTAAAAGGTTCACCATCACTGCCCTATATCATTTCAGACAAATGGTTGTCCAATCTCTTTTTGAAAGCGTTCGGGTGATGGAGCACCCACAAATTCTGAAGGTAAGCTATTCCATTGGTTGATTGCTCTCACAGTTAGGAAATTTCTCCTTATTTCTAAGTTGCTTCTCTCCTTGATTAAATTACACATTGCAGAGAAGCATTTACTGCTTGGTTTTTAAAAAGTGCATGTGGAATGTGCTACTATATATATAAAAATAATAATCTGAAAGAGATGCTGATATAAAGGGCACCCATCTGTCTTAGCATAGGAAAAGCCGCATGTGCATAATTACTGTTGCCTGGAGAATATATCAGCCATTATTATTTGATTATTATTGCAAAATGTATCGCAGTTTGCTCTGTCACTAGCTTTAGCCAAGAGACACACAATCTGCGTAACGTAGGCCTTGTTTTATGGAAGGGGTAACAAGTCCTCCCTTCAGCAAATGGACAGAAGACCCCTTGTGCCAATTCTAAGAAGGCCTTTAAAAAAAAAAAATCTCAAGAGAATACAAAGAGGCAAGTGTCTCCTCTTAGCAGCAGCCAAATTTGTCAGGAGAGGCAGCAAAAGGAAGATTCAGAAAATCAGAAAACCAGTCCTGCTTTAAGAAAGAAGATCGAATCATATATTCAGAAATGCTAAGGAAGGTTGGTCTTCCAGAGCATCTAATCAAGCAAATAGTTTAAGTATACATTTAAAAAATCCAAATGTATAAAAGGAGGAAATACCTACATTATTCTAAGTCAGTGGTGGCGAACCTATGGCACGGGTGCCAGAGGCGGCACGCAGAGCCCTCTCTGTGGGCACGTGCGCCGTCGCCCCAGTCCTAGGCCTTCAGCTGGGTTTTATAAAACCTTTTCGCTTTAGGCCTCCACCGCCATGTACAAAAAAAAAAGGTTCAATCAATCAGTCAATTTCAACTTCTCGCGGGGAAAAAAAAGATCTTGCAAAGTTGGAATTGATTGATTGAACTTTTTAGTCCCATCCAAGTCTGCTGTTACCACCGCAGCCACGCCCACCCAATGGGCCACGCCCACCCAATGGGCCACACCCACCCGGCACCCGATGATGCATAAGTGGATTTTGGGTTGCAGTTTGGGCACTCGGTCTCTAAAAGGTTCGCCATCACTGTTCTAAGTCTTTGCCTGGGAAATGAAATCTAAGAGACTGAAGTCCAGCCTCACTAATCTGGCCCTGTTGGGACTTCAATTCCACTGTGACCAAGAATTCTGGCAGTTGCAGTTCCAACACATCTGGAGGACATCAAGTTAAAGAAGGAAAAATTTGAACGAGAGTCTAGACCAGGGGTAGGCAACCTTGGCTCTTTTATGACTCGTGGACTTCAACTCCCAGAATTCCTGAGCCAGCATGGCTGGCTGAGGAATTCTGGGATTGACGTCCACGAGTCATAAAAGAGCCAAGGTTGCCTACCCCCGGTCTAGAATATTTAAGTTTGCCTCTTTCCAGTTTATCCTGTTTGTTCACTAAGGGTTTAATTAGAAAACCAACAGTTATTCTAATGTCTATGAGAACTCATTATGTTTAGGTTACACACTGAGTTTTGTTTCTGCAGTACCTCAGATATGCAGCAAATATTTTATGGCATTTTAAAAAATGTTTGTTTTTGTGAACTGAATTCACTTCAGGACATAAAGTTCGCCAAGCTTAATTTCTTAATGACTTTCGGAAATTGCTTTCAAATTGCTTTTTAGCTATTAAGAACTTTTGCAAAGACAGATGAGCACTAAGTGAATTTCCTTCAATCCTTAGTAAAAGAAGTTTTAAATGCAAGATTAAGGAGGGTTTTTTTTGAATAAACAGCAAAAGATTTGAATATTGATTTTGGAAAGTTAAGAATGGAATGAAGATCAGATGGATTTGAAATAAGATTTTGAAAATAATTATAAGAATCTTTCCTGTGGGAAAATGCTGAATTCCTTAAAAAAATATGATTGGATGGGACTTTGAAGGTTGGACACTAGAGGGAACCAGAAGGAACTAAAGATTACACTTAAAGATAATACAGATAGTCCTCAACTTACAACAGTTCATTTAGTGATCGTTCAAAGTTACAGCACTGAAAAAGTGACTTATGACCATTTTTCACACTTATGAACACTGCAGCATCTCCATGGTCATGTGATCAAGATTCCATCTCTTGGCAATTGACCTATTTATGATGGTTGCAGTGTCCTGAGGTCATGTAATCTGCGACAAGCCCAGTCAATGGAGAAGCCAGATTCACTTAACAACTGTGTTACTAATTTAACACCTACAGTGATTCACTTAACAACTGTGGCCAGAAAGGTCGTAAAATGGGGCAAAACCTACAACAAATGTCTCACTTAACAACAGAAATTTTGGACTCAATTGGGATCGTAAGTTCAGGACTATCTGTAATGCATAAACTGAAGGATATTTGTGAACAATGGACCCAGATGTTAATTTTAAAAGTGTCTGCCATTATGGATAGACTGTCTCTAAAAGAAGGTATGAAAGAAGAACAAATTTTACTGGACAAGACCGAGACTGATTTGAAAGTGGATCTTAAAAAGGCAGGCTACAAGAATGGTGTGGAAAAAGATGCTACACGGACACAGAAAAGAAACCAACTGGTATCTTAATAATTAAAAAGAATATACAAATAACAATCCAAGAGAGAGACCTGGATAACTTTCTTGTGCTAGATTTACAAAAGAGACTTGGTTCAAAACAAAAAGTTTTGAAGCATTTTGTGACGAGAAGAAAAAAAAGAAAAGAAATAAAGTTCTATGACAGTATTTAAAGGGAATACAGTTCAAGATTCTTAAAAGTAAAAAGAAGGAATACAAAGTTGGTTGATCAAGGTTGATCAAGGTTAAAATAGATATATTATCTCTGGTAACACTTAATGAGCATTTGGTGACCAGGACTGAATGACAAGGTTTTAACTTTTTTTTATGGCTAAAAGATGAGATATGGGAAGAAAAGATAATCTGTTGTATTTTTTAAAAAAGGGATCATTTATTAAATTGCTTATACTTGTGATGAAGAGGGGAATAATTTATGTATTTCCTTTCTTTTTATTATATTCTTATTTTTCTTTTCTATTTTTCATTCTATTTTTCATCCTTTGCACTTTTTAAATTTTTGTTTCAGTTTGTATCTTGCATTTTAATTGTAATGTTTAACAAAATTATTATAAAAACACAACCTAATATTATTTATTATCGATATTCATAATTATCGATATTCATAATTCACTGATCCTACCTACATCTTCCTGAAGGGAGAGACAATATTTACTCCCCTCCAGCATTCCATAATTTCTCAGATAATAAAAAAAAACTTTGGCTAGATCTTCAATAAACTTCAGTGCACTTAGATCCTATTACTTCTGTAAATTTTAATTCATTCAAGGAAAATAGATATTCTTAGATCACATTCCTATCAAACTGAATCCTGTTTAGATTGTTTTTCAGAATTGTTTAGAAGAACATGCATTTTCTTAAAAGAAATTAGGTGGAAATAGATATTGACTATTCTAGTTCCACCTTTTATTTGCTACCATTTAACATTTTATCATTTTCTCTGATAAACTTTTTTTATTCTGAATCTATCCAAACAAGCTCTTTTGTTGTTCCTAATTTTCTTCACCAATCTTCATTCACTTTGAATTGAACGTTAGGGATTCTGACAATAAGCCTACACTTCTAGTGAACTTTTCCTTGGTTATAAATTTCCATCTCCTATCCTGGCTTTTTCAATTTTCAGGTCTTCCCTAAGGTTACTGTGCATAAATTGCTGGCTTCTTCTGCTTTTTGACTTATTTGCCATTCAATTTTCCATATCTCTTTTAAAAGGCATTGCCCCCCTCTTAAAAAAATCTGGTTTATAGTACAGTACAAGAATGGCTAATGCTTTTGTGCCTTCTTCCAGTCTATGAAATTTAAGTTATCAGTAAGCCAAGCCTGGAAATATCCTGGAAGAACCAGATTTGATAGAGTGGCTCTCTACAAATGTCATTGAATTAAAAAAAACAACCTCTTTCACCACAATAATACAATTTGAGATGGCTATATATCGCTCTATATCAACATTAAGACATCAGGCAATTTACATCATTAAGCTGTATCCCTCACCAAATGACATACTGCAAACTTCATATTCAGCTCAGTCTGCTCTATCCTGACAGGCTGTTATCATTTTAGATTTGCCATTTCCTCTTTACTTCCTTCTTTCAAGCAAAGCTGTACAAAGAGGAAGTATGTGCATTAGCAATCCACGTCCTCCTTGGCAATCAACTACAAATAAGAAGTTGTGATTTGTTGCCATTTTAATTTAATAAAATATTTTTTGAATTAAATATTGCTGTGTTATTGTTATATTTTATGCTGATAAGCTTTCATAGCTACCCAGCTGATTTTCTTAGGCAGCAAAGATAATTAATTAAAAATAAAATACGTCATCAGTCTCTTCTTCTGATGAAAGCCCCTGGATTTATTTTCAGCATTTTTTTTTAACAATGATAAGTTTCTAGCAGGCTAAATCTCTTGATAATCCCATAAAAAGATGCACAAAAATGTACAAATATGCACAAAAATACACTCTCAGCCATGAATGTACAATATGAAATATTAGAGATTAAAAAAAGTACTTCCTGACTCCCAATTACCTAGTCATAGCTAAACCATAACTAAACCATGGTTTGCTGGCAAAACTATAATTGCCTTGACTACTGATACAGGGTCAGTGTTTCTCAGCCTCGGGAACCTTAGCATGGCTGGCTGTGGAATTCTGGGAGTTTAAATCCACACACTGCCAAGGTTGAGAAACATTGAGCTATAAACTACCATTCAAAACTGTAATAGCTCAGTTCTCATAATATGAAAAGCTAAGGCCCAAGAAATTATATCATGAATTTGTATGATTTAAGAACCAGATAAAAACTCCACTACGCAAAGAATGTCTGTAAGTGGATCCATCAGGAGTTTATTTGGGATCATTACAGTGGTATACTGTATTTGATTCTGGTACTGTACCGATTCTGAATTCCTGAACAAAGCATCCACTAATGCTGGGTAGATCCCACTAACAGCAAAGTAAATCTTGCAAGCTTGACCATCATTAGGTGCTTCCTCTGTTAAATGAATGGAGCAAGTCTCACTAGTGTTTTTTTTTTAATAAAAATTATCTCTTGGTTTTTAGTTCTCAAGAAGGCCGTTCCCCATGGCATTCCACTGGTTCAATTTTTTTCCAGATGAGCTGGCAGAAATCATGTTCCAATAATGAAGCAATCTTTTAAAAAGGGCATTAGTTATACTTAGTCACCGCCCTGAGTCCCGTAAGGGAGATAGGGCGGTATATAAATTTAAATAATAAATAAATAAATAAATACTTATAACTAATAACTTATAACTAGTTATACAGGGATGGGGGCAAGGCTGAAACTGGTCTCTACCATCATGTTTATTATTATTTTTTTGACACATAGACCTATAAGCAATTTCCACTGGTTGAGGTGGGCAGTTATAGAAAGGGAATTGAATAAATCATTTTTAATAAAAGGGAACCCCGCAGGCCACAGTATCCTCTCCAGATAGATTTTATTGTAGAATGACCACTTCAAGGACCAAACTTCACACCACAGTTTAGTGAACAAAACCTTTGCAAGTTGTTAAATGTTCAGATCTGCATCACTAGGTCATCCCCACGCTGGCTGGGGATAATGGGTATTATAATAATAATAATACAATATATTTTGGATATGCTGGGGGACGGGGCGGAGGCAGCCTGGCCCAAACCATACATTTAGCATTTGAGGTTCAATTCCGGCAGGCCACGCTTAGGAACCTGTTTCCCGAGGGCAAAGTCAATTCTTGTTTGCCTTTTAACTCCGCCACATTTGTGCAAAACGCTCCAGCTCACAACCGGGGAGCCTGGGACCTCCCCAGGATACCTGAGCCAGCCAGGAGGCTCTTCCTTCCCCACAATAGCTCGGCTTCCACCCCGGAAGCCCAGCCAGGAGAGGGTTCCTTCGGGACGCCCTAATTTTTCGCCCATCCCAATTCGCCCACCCCATCTCATTAAGTTCCCTGGGCCCACGATGGGGCACCAGCGTTGCATAAGCTCGCCTCCAAGCTCAAACGTGGGCCACCTCCCCCAGTTCGCACAACCGCTCCCACACCTTTCCCATTCCCCGCTGCTTTTCCTTTCCAACGAAGCACAGTGCTATTCAACACACACACACACACACACACACACACAAACACAAACCTTCCACCAACCTCCCAGCTATGCCCACTCGCCCAGCTTCCTTTGCACATACAGGACGATCCGAGCGTGCAACGGCTCCCTGTCACAGGGACTGCTTGTGCAAAGCCCCGCCTCTTCTAACGGCGCCAGCCAGTCACCGGTCTCCCGCAGCCAACGGCTGGGGGGGAGGGGGAAACAGCCTCGCCCCCTCAGAAGCTCCCCGTGATCTGCACCACGTCCTCCGCCGTCTTGAACATCTGCCGCGGTTGCCTTTTGCTTCTCCCGAAAGCTTTTTCATCCGAAACTGCGGCGCGCCGCCGGGAGTTGTAGTTCTTCGGACGACGCTGCCCGTAGGGCTGAGTTCGAGGGTAGACTACAAGTTCCGGCATTCTCCGCGAGCGGACCGGTTGGGGACCGCCTTTCGAGTCATTTGGCGAAGGGCGATAGGCTAACGGATCCGTCAAGAAAAGGAAAACGTAAACTTTGTACTGGGTAGAATCACACAAAAAGCAGCGATTACGGGTTTAGTGTGAATGTTTCTCCTCCCTTGAGAAAATGTGAAAGCTTGTTATTGTAAACATCCTGTGAAATCTGGTGACCTCCAAAGATTTGGGAACGCAGCGACCGGCCTCAGAATCGCCAAAGAAGATAACTGAAGTGGTAGATAGCTTCTGCCTTTCAAGGTCGACTAACAACAATAAAGAAACAAGAAGCCAAAAAATATGCTGCAGGCTAGCACTTGATAATTTCTAACACTGGTTTTCTATCAAACACATCAAGTTTTATTTGATTACAGTCAATGAGCCCCACAACCCTGAGAACAACCTAACAGTCACATGAAACCTCAAAAATGAAGACTTAAAAACTGAAGAATGGGAAGAATTGAATAAAATTGGATAGATAAAGTAGATAAAATAAAAACTGGGTAAAATACATGAATACTACTACACAATAAAAGACGGGAAAATGTCAGAATTCCCAAGATGATACCTTACACCTTTTTGGAGGCATTAAATTACTGACAGTGTTGATATTGTAGTCAATAGTTTCTGGTTCCATTCATCTAAGATCTCCTTTAATATTTCTGATGTTATAACATTTGTGCCCTTCTTAAATGCATCAGGCTGATTTTTCTCTCTCTGCTTAAAATCTTTAGTCCCCTCTAGTGTTCAGTTTCTTTTATTATGACTTGCAATAATCACAATAGCGAAAAATCTGTTTTCCACAAGAAGTTGTTCATTTTTTATAGTTAATTCCAAAATTAACTGTAAAAGTCAATATTTCAAATTTGTTCCAGGCCTTAATCCAGTTATAAATCTAAATCTTATTTTGCTTTTTGTTGTTTATTTCAAATATTTTAAATTCTTAAGCTTGTAATTAGTTTTTCTTTTATTGAAGATAACCTCACCTAATGAAGACTTTTTAGATTTGCCATTTGGAGTTTCTCTAATAACTTTACCATGATTAATAGGCAATTTCCGAAAGTGATTAGATAATCGGATTTGTGAATTTAGGGTCCTTCTGCAGAGAGGTCTTCAATTCACCATACCTCCTGTTGGGAGAAAGGTCTTCATCATGGTTCAGTCCTAGCCGGGGATAAACAACATGGTGACTGCTTTAGAAAGAAGGTTGCAGTTTATTGAAGAGGAGAGCCAGACAGAAAGATGGTTCTGGCAGGAAAGAGGAAAAAAGGGCTGAGCACATGTAGGGAGTGGGTTTTTATACCCTCTGGAGCCTTTTGTTTGGAGTTGTTCCTGTGGCATGAACTTTGACCTGAGTCTGAGTGTACTTTTCTGGTATTCTGATGGGAATGGGTTAATTCTATTATGACCCAAAGGTCATATCCTGCTTCCCTGGTGCTGGGGCTAATGATTCTTAGAGTTTGGATGGGGTATGTAGATTTTAGGTCTTTGTCTTCTTAATCTCCTAGCTCCCTGGATTTACATCTGCATCTCTATAGAGCTGGTTTCTGCTTGGGGGAAGGAGACCTGGGGCTATTAAGAAAACTGGGCATGCTTTCCTGCCTCTTTAAGATCCTTTGAGGAAATATATTTTTCTGCCCTTTTAATATTTCCTTCTCTGGGGGACTGACTTCCCACACTCCCCTGGAAGACCAGACAGAGCTTGTCTCCTGTTTGTGTTAATGGCTGTTTTTTAAATGATTTCTGGATGCTGTGTGTTTTTATTTACTTATTTTTTTTTGTTATATGTATTTTATCTATTTTATTGTAAGTTGTCAAAGCTATATAAATTGATTAAATCAAATAGTGCATGTAGTCCTCTACTTACAACCACAACTGAGCCCAACATTTCTGTTGCTATGCAACAGTTGTTAAGTGAGTTTTTATGACCTTTCTTGCTGCAGATGTTAAGTGAATCATAATTGTTAAGTTAGAAACATGGTCGTTAAGTGAATCTGGTTTCCCCATTAATTTTGCCTGTCAGAAGTTCACAAAAGGGGATCACATAACTCCGAGACATTGCAACCGTCATAAATACATGCCAGCTGCCAAGTGTCTGAATTTTGATCATGTGAACACGGGGATGCAGCAACGGTTGTACGTGTGAAATAAGATCATAAATTATTTTTCCAGGGCCATCATAAGTTTGAATGGTAATTAAATGATTGTAAATCAAGGACTAGGCCTACTCACTTGAAATAGAAATGACCAGGCTCAAATCTTCCTATTTGATGAAAGGTGGAAGGAAAGAGAAGAAGAGGATAAAGTGGGGAGGATTCAGTTACAATGTCAATGGGGTGACCATTAGTACAGCTGAAGGACCAGTTTGGAACAGATCAGTATAGGGAAAACTTAAGGGACCAAGTTGGGGCAGGACTGACACTAGCTACTGTACGTGGTCGCTAACAGTCAACACAGACTTGATGGCACACAATCAACATGCATATGTGTATGTATGTATAAACACACACACACACTGGAAATCCCACCAACTAATAAGCAAATCTAGCTTCCCCCATTGACTTTGCTTGTCAGAAGCTAGCTGGGAAGGTCAGAAATGGTGATCATATGGCCCTGGCACACTGCAACCACCCTCCATACATGCCAAAATGCCTCAATTTTGATTAGTGGCCATTGGGATGCTGTGTTGGTCGAAAGTGACAGGATCTGTTGTTACTTTTTTCAGTGCTATTTGAACTGTCACTAAATAAG